CAAGGACAGGAGCAGAGACCAGATGGAGCCATGGCAAGACCTTGCACCTGGCTCCTTGCACAGAGATCCCAAAGCTCCCCTCCCCTCCCCCCTGCTTTTCATTTCCCACGTTCCATTCCCTCGGCCTCCTCTTTTAAAACCCTTAAGTAAATCTGAGTCTCTGAAATCAGTAAATCTGAGTCTTGGAGATGGCTTTAGGTTGGCCATTCTCCCTCAGGTTTACCGGAGAGATGGTTTAGCCTGACATCTCCCCTCGGGTCACTGGTGTTCTCGAATAAAAGCTGACTTCCATTTGCACCAACATTTGACTTTTGAGTGGTTTGCCTTTAAAAGGTCACAGGCAGCCAGACCTGTGCCCAGTAACAAATCATGTAGTGGCTGAGTGCAGCTGCCTGAGTTCAGGGCCAGCTCTAAGTGAGCCTGAGCGAGTTATTGGTCTCTCCAAGATGACTCCACAGAATTGCTCCAGAAATGAAGTGAAATCATGGACAGAAAGCGTTCAGTACAGTACCTGGCCCACAGAAAGAGCTCAAGAGGTGTCAGGCCTCTTTCCCACTTCACTCCCACCCCAAACTCAAGTCTGAGTCATAGAACTTACTCAGAGGCTTTCAATGGCACACCTTGCCTGGGGTCCCTGGAAGCCCTCGGGGGTTGTCCTCGTTCTGCCCAGCTTTCCTCTCCCTTGTGAACTTCTTCCTTTTCCCCCAACCAGAACCCCACCTCCTCCGGGAAGCCTTCAGCTTGTAGTTTGTTTGTTTGTTTTTTTTTAAAGATGACCGGTAAGGAGATCTTAACACTGGCGTGGTGTTGTCAGCACCACACTCACCCAAGTGACCTAACCGGCCACCCGTACATGGGATCCGAACCCATGGCCTTGGTGTTATCAGCACCACACTCTCCCGAGTGAGCCACTGGCCGGCCCAGCCTGTAGCATTTTTAACACCCACTCTGGGGCCCTTATACCTGCTGCCTGGGACTGTGGCCTTTGCCTAACTTGCTCTAAGCTTCCAGAGGGCAGGGCAGTCTCAACGCAGTATTGGTACATGGCTGATCTTCACCTTCTGAAAGGTGTTTACAGGGTTTGTCCACAGGGCAGCCAGGACATCCCCACACATAAGGTCACTGCATGGCTCCTGCAGCCAGACTTGGACCACTTCCTTCATGGCTCTCTCCCCCACTCACTCCTCCACAGGCACCAGCCACCTGCCTTCCTTCCTGGGCTAACTCCACCTCCCTCCTGCACCCTCCTCTCCATCAGGCCCTAGCATCATGGTTTCTGGCTCAGAGAGGCCTTTCCTGGCCTGCTCTAGGTAAGCCTTCCCTGTGAGCCACCCTCGCTGTCCTCTGTCATCCCCGTTGAGATGCAAGGTGGCCAAGATTAAGCAGGGCCTCAGTGTTGGAAGGTGATGGTGAAGTCCACATGAGCAATTACAGGGGAAGCTCTCAAGTGAGCAATCTGTGGTCGGCCTTCTGTGCACACCCACCTCCCACCGGGCCTTTATGGACAATGCTCCCAAATACCCAGAGGTCCTGAAACCCAACCTCCCAGGAGGGGTCATCCGTTCCCACCTCTCTTGGGTAGAGCCAGGCCCTCAGGGGATTGATGGTGCTGGCCTTGCTCTATGTTCAGGGCCCCTGCACCCCGTCACCTGATTCTGCACTCAGTAACCCAGGAGCTCAGGACCCACCATCCCTCTCCCACCCCTGGAGCACTGACAGAGTTAGAAGACTAAGCATGAACTTCACCCCAAAATCCAAGTAAGCGGGGTGCTGCTTAAATAGTAAAAACAGAAGTGATACTGAAGCTACATGTATTTGTCATAAATTACAAGACATTCTTTTCAGACAGAATCCAAGCAGTCAGATAGGCCTGAGGGCACGGCCAGGTGTCCTAGGGGCACTGTGTCACAGGTAAGGCTGGTCCTTGGACAGCTCCCACCTCTTCATGGGAGGACCTGGTGTCACTGCCTTCTTCTCAGTGGCCGCCACAGCTGAGCTAGAGGACAAAAACAGACTGCAGTTAGGACCAGGTTTCCAGAGAACAGCATGGATAGATCTGCACCCATTACCAACATGACCGCTGAGCATTTCTGGATCTGGAGGGCAGAGTGCAGGGTGTTTCAGAATGCCCAAATCCCTCCAGTGGGGTCTCCCAGGGGGTCAGCCGACTCTTGCTGGAAATCAGCAAGCCTACTTGCTGCCCCCAACCCTGAGTGAACCCCTGGTCGGCCTACCCCGGCTGCTGGGCTCCTGCTCCAGCACCCCTTCTCACTTTTGGCCTCCAGGGTAGACAACTCTCCCCCACAATTCCTGCTGCCTCAAAATAGGATACTGCTAAAAGGCCCTAGAAATCAAGCGACATCTATCCACTGCTCTTCTTTCCTCAGGTCTTGACCACCTACTAAGTGGCAGTAGGTGGCATGTGCTAGTGACACAAGACCCCACTCAGGAAGCCCTTGGGCTGGTGGGGCTGAGTCAATACACAACTGACTATATCCACTGATTGGCCCAGAGGTGGCCAAGGGGGAGCCCCAAGGAGACACTGTGCCAGCAATCCAGGGCAAGCACCCTCCTCTCCACCCCTAACCTGAGCCTGAGGCCTAGAGCTGGAGGGGCTTGGACACACTTTAAGCAGGAAACGAAAGGAACAAGAAGGTGGGACTAAGGACGAGGCCACCAGGGGCAGGGAGTCCAGAGAGTCTACAAAGGGTGGAAGAGGAAGAAAGCAGCCTCCCGTCCCTGGGGGGAGGGCAGCTTGCCACACTGGTGCTGGACTCCAGTGAATCAGAAGGTGACAAGGACCACTCCACCAACCTTTCAGTGCATCCTACTACATAGCAGGCCCTGCCTGGCCTCATCACCTCACAGATCTCATCACACTGCAAGCCTACTGTCCCCATTTGACAAATGAAGAAACTGAGGCTTGAGAAGGCTGACGGATTTCCCCAAGACTACAGAGTGAGTCAACTGAAGAGGCCAGACACCACTGGGGGTCCCAGCAAATCTCTCTGAAATTCTGCCTCTGCCACCCACTCACTGTGTGACCCAGGCCAGTCACTTGGCCTCTCTGAGCTTCAATTTCCTTTTCTGCAACAGGGGCCATCACCGTCTGTTGCTCACAACAAATACTTGAAAATGTGAAAGTGGCTTTGGAACTGGATATAGGGGCTGGCCCCGTGGCTCACTCGGGAGAGTGTGGTGCTGGTAGTGCCAAGGCCGCGGGTTCAGATCCTATATGGGGATGGCCGGTATACTTACTGGCTGAGCGTGGTGCAGACGACACTGTGCCAGGGGTTGCTATCCCCTTACCATTAAAAAATAAATAAATAAATAAAAGGAACTGGGTATAGGGCAGAGGATGGAGGAATTTGGAGGAATGGGCTAGGAAAAGCCTAGATGCTGGTGAGAAGAGTTTGAAACATCTCAGAGACTGGTTAAATGGTGGTGACCAGAACCCTATTAGAAATATGGACAGGAAAGGCCATACTGAGGATGACTCAGATAGAAATAAGGAGTTTATTGGAAACTGGGGCAAAGATCACCCTTGCTATGAACTTGCAAGGAACTTAGCTACATTCTGTCCATGCCACAAAGTTTTTGGAATGTGGAACTTAAAGGTCCTCACCCTGGGTATTTGGCAGAAGAAATATCTAAGCAGCAAAGCATTCAGGAAGCTGCATGGCTACTTGCAACAGCCTATATTGAGTTATGGTGACAAAGACATGAGGTAAAGCTAAAATTTATAATTAACAAGGAAGTAAAGAATGAAAAATTGAAAAACTGTCAGCCTGGCCACATAAAGAGTGAGATGTTTTCGAGAGGAAATCAAGGGTGTAGCCCAGCGACCCTTTGCTAAGGAGATGAGTACAGAAGAAAGGGATTATCAAGAGAAGGGAAAAAAGACCTTGAAGCATTTCAGAGGCTGTCCTTTCCAGCACAGGCCCAGAGGCCTAGGGAGACAGAAGGGTCTTGGGGAACAGGCCCAAGGTGCTCTTGACAGGCTCACTGCCCAGGGTCACCTCAGGAAGCTGTTCCCCACACCAGCACCCCAGCTGCTTTGGCTGTTCCAACTGTGTCCAAATTTGCTCCAGGTGTGGCTGGACCCACAGCTTTGGAAGATACAAGCTAGAAGCCTTGGTGGTGTCCATGTGGTGTTAAGTTTTCCGGCTTACAGAACGCCAGGGCTATGGAGGCTTGAGAGCCTCCACCCCAATTTCAAAGGATGTATGGAAAAGCCTGGAGGCCCAGGAAGAGATGTCACAGGGGAATTCACCACTGTCTTCTCTAGAGCAATGCTGAGAGGAAATATGGGGTTGGAGCTGCAGCAGAGAAACCCCAGGAGATGGAGACGGCGTGGACTCTGTGCCAGACCCCTTCCCTTCCTAAGAGCTTATAAATATCGATTATGAGGATTAATCCTCACAACAGCTCTCTGAGATAGATACTATCATTGTCACCATTTCATTAAGAGAAGGGATCCAAGGCCAGGGACCAAGTTGGGTTTGTTTCTTTTCTTTTATTGGTGGCTGGCTGGCATGGGGAACCAAACCCTTGACCATGGGGTTACAAGACTGCACTCTACCCAACTGAGCAAACCGGCCAGCCTAAATCAGGTTTTGAGAGGCCCGAGATTTATACAATTCTCTAGGAAGAATACAAAATTACAAATACGGTAATGTCCAGGCTTTTCCCAGGGCCCCTGAAGGGACCCCGGAACCCCATCTGCTCTGTAGGATACCCACCCCTGGCTGAGGCACTTTGCCCTACCCTGAACTGGGTTGGATTAAATGAGCTCTTGGCAAAAAGCCCCTGGGCAGCAGTTACTGCTCCAGAAATGGATCTGGAGAAGCACCCTTTCCACAAACAGGTGAGAAAGAGTAAATTGCAGGAGTGGGGGTCATGGGGGCTCTGGGTAAGGGACCCTGGAGATCCTCACCTCTCTGCTGACTTGCCTGCCACCAGCGCCTTCTGTGAGGACATGACAATCAAGGGGGGCACAACTTCCCGGCGGCCATCACGAGTGCAATAGTAATTGTTGGAGAGCTTGTGGCTGGGGCCCATAGGGAGCTTGGGAGGAGGCTGAGTTCTGAGGAGAAAGAACATTGGCACTGAAGCAAACCAACAGTTCTTACTGCCTTGCCATGGGTCTGCCCCTGTCACAAGTCTCAGGGCCCTTAGCTCCTGGTATGGGCTGCAGGCCAGGGGTGTCCCTTGGTCCACTGTCATGGACATATACCTATGGAGGTGTCTGGCATCCAGAAGCAGGTAGCAGCCCCTGCTCTGGATGTGAAGGTGCTGGAAGGCCAGGCCAGGGTCTGCCCCACCCACCTGCCCCAAATGTGGCAGGTATGGAAGACTCTTTGTGAGGCTCCCAGGGAAGGGGGAGGCCTAGACATTTTCCTCCCACCCACCCAAGGCTGAGCTTGGCAGCTGGTCTCACTTCCATCTGCAGGTGCTCAGGAAATGAAGAGGCCAGAGAAGCTCTGACCACTGCCTGTCTAGGAGTCATAGAACATAAACACTTGGGTAGCAGCCCCTTCTTTAGCCTGCTTTGAGTGGCTTTTCCCCCAGAAAACAGGCTGTCAAAACTCCTGGATTTCCTGTTATCTCAGGAACTCTTTGTAAAACGCTGCTGGTATCAAAGCTTTTCACTGAAAGAACCCTTTGCCCTTGAAGCCTGCCTGGTCTCTGCATTTCCTGCCATCATGTGGTTGGACATCAAGACTCTGTGCAGCCAGAGGGAGAATGAACAAACCTCTGTCCTGGTTTGGGCTAAACCTTTAATATACAAAGAAGCCTGAAGCCTTAAAAGGAAATGCTAAGCACAAAACAAAAGAGGAGCTTCCCAAAGAGGGAGGGCGGCTGGCCAATATGTGGATCTGAACTCTTGACCCTGGTGTTACCAGCACCACCTCTAACCTAGTGAGATAACAGGCCAGCCCTAAATTAGCCATATTTTAAAATAATTTTTTGTCTGGTAATTGTTTTGCCAGGATTTAGGTTTTTCTTAAAACATGATAGTCATCGTATTTAAAAAATGAGAAACAGAGGACTGGCTGGTCAAGGGTTCAAACCCCGTACTGGCCAGTCACCAAAACAAAAGGAAAAAAAAACAAGAGAAATACAGATACAAATAAAGTAAATATTTTAAATATTAAAAGCAACATATTATGGGAAAGTTAGAACTTGCTTAAAGAACGCAGACATGACCCTCTATATGCCCGGCCATAGCTTTCTGCCCCTCGGCACAGAAAAGGTGAAAAGAACCACAGCCCAATAGGAAGGCCCAAATGAAACGCTAGAGGGCACCGTTATCCCAAAGAAGTTTAAAATTTTACAAAACCATTTCCTCAACCGGCCCTCCAGCTAC